GCCCGCGCACAGATCGGCCTTGTTCTCTGCCTCGGTCTTCCCTCCTTCCCTCTGCTCACAGGGCACGAGGGGGAGGAATAGCTGATGACAGGCGGTGCCCTGCCCGGGTGGGGGGCCTTTGTTCATTCACTCGATGGCGGACATTTCCCGGGTGCCTGCTCTGGGCCCGGCCTGCGTGGGCGACCACCAATGGCAGGAAGCCGGGCTCCTCCCTCTGGGCAGCCCAGGTCAGCAGAGCACCTGCCGGGATGGCCTGGTGGGGGTCGGGGGTGGGAGTGCGTGCCGCGTGCTCAGAAAAGAGAGAACAGCGGGCCCTGTGGGGTCGAGCTGGAGGTGGGAACAAGTGAGTGAGGTCTTGAAGGGTGAATAGGAGTTTGCAGCTGGAGCAGGTTTGAAGAGCATTCCTGGACACAGTGTAGACAGAGGTGTGGGAGGGCAGGGAACACCTGAAGGAGCAGCGGGCCCTGGACGCTGGCCCGCGACTGGAGGCCCCGTGAGGATGGACTTGTCTCCTGTGCCGACGAGCTGGGCTGTGGCATTGGGCAGTAGGATCACCACCGGAGTTTACCCAGGCAGAGGTGGGAGCAGATGAGCATTTGGAGAAGCTGCTCCGACCCACCCACTGGATCTGGGCCCGGCCAGAGACACCCGAATGCCACCCCAGGAGCCCAGGAGAGCAGAGAGGACTACGTTGGCCCTCTGCAGGGCAACCACCTGGGGGAATCTGCCTCTGCCTCAATCCTCGGGCCAGGATCGGAGGCCGCGCGCCCCTGCCTAGTTAGGGGGACGTCTGCAAGGACCCACGTGTCCATGCCCACCCCTGGAGGGCGGTGAGGGCAATGCGGTGGGTGGGGATGGTGGTGTCCGGAGTTCGTGTCCCTTTTTCTGGAAGCTTCCCTGGCCCCGCAGCTCCCTCTAAATGCCCTCAGAGCTCTTGCCCTCTGAGCCGGGAGGGTTCTGTCGTAACCATGCTCCGTTCTTAGAGCAGCCTCAAGAGCCGGGTCATGTGCCCACCGTACAGATGAGGAAGCTGAGGCTCAGGGAGGCAACGAGACAGCTCATGGCGGGCAGAGCAGCGGGCCCTGGGGAGGGGCGGTGCTGCGACCCCACAGGGACCCCATGGGGTACAAGGAAAGGTGGCCTCCCGAAGCCACAAAGGGGCGGGGGGTAACCAGGACACATGGGGCCTAGAGCAGGGCCACCGCGGCTGCCTCTCTGCATGGGAGGCTCCTGTGCGTCCACGTCCCCCTCCCTGCCCCAAGCTTGTGCACACTTGCCGTCTCTCTGTCCCTTTCTGCCCATCTGTCTTTCTGGCCTCCTTCCCTCCACCCCGTCTCTGTCACCCTCCCCCCGTCACTGTTCCCCGCCTCCGTCCCGCTCTCTCACACCTTCTTCGTTTTGCTCTTTCCTCCCTCTCTCTCTGTCTCTCTCTGACTCAGTTTCTCCTCCGTCCCCTCCCTTCCTGTGTGTGTGCATCTGTCTGGGCCCCTCCGTCTGCCCCACGAACCCATCCCGCCATCACCGCCTGGCTGTGCTCTTCTCCCCCTCGTGTCCCCACGTCCTGCTCAAGGCCTGCGGGGTCTCTCGGCCCCTTTCTCCACTGCCCTCTCTGCTCTGTTCCCACTGCCAAGGGCACATCCTTGCCGGGTCTCCTGGTTCGGCCTCCGTAGTGCGGCGTCTCGGAGGCCCTGCAGGGCCCGGGTCACCGGCCGGCGCCGAGCAGGACCCTCTCCCGCTAGTCCGCTGTGGGACCAGTCCCCTCCTGGTCCCCGGCTCCCGAGCCACAGCCCACGGCAGCGTCACGTAACTAAGAAACAAGTGTCCGTGATTTCCTCTGTGTGTTGGCAAACACCGGCCTGCTGCTAATGCAATCCTTTCTTTTAATGGATTCTTGAATTTAAATGATATGTAATTAAACACAATTAGCCCGGTACGCCACTGGGCTAGGTGCCGTGCGCCGAGGGAGGCTGGCGAGCAGCTCGTTACAGAGCGTCTTCTTTCCTGGGCAGATCTCCTGTTCCCTCTCAGGGTCGAGTTCATGTGACTGAACGGTAAGCCTGGCCCAGGGGCCTGGGGCGGGGTCTGAGGAGGGGAGCCCCGGGCCAGCCATGCAGGGACTTGGAGGGTGAGCCGGGTGGGGTTTGCTCTAAGAAGTTTGGTTCCTTTGAGCCATCACGCGGACCTCGCTGTTTGGGGTGAAAGCTGGGAATGCCATAGGAATGGGGGTTGGGGCACAGAGCAGGGGCCGGGGGGTCAGCACCTGCCTGGGCACGACCTGAAGCCTGCCTGGCCGTCCCACTGGCCCGGACAACCCCCCCATAGGCGAAGGGCTGGGGCACCCCTGCCTCATTGGCGAGTGGGGCTTTGGCTTTGGAGCAGCCCCTGGGCCCCAGGGATAGCCGAGGGAGCCCCCAAAGGGCACCTCCAGGGTGGCTGGCGCAAGACTCGAGCCCCGTGCACACAGGCCGAGTGAGAGGGGAGACCGGGGGTCTTCCTTCTGCTTGGAAGCAGAGGAGCAGTGACGCCGGGCTGGGTGCCTGGCCTCCCACTGGCCACTCCCTGCAGGGACCTGGAGCTGTGCCTTCAGGTGCAGAGACTGCTGGGACTCCGGGCTGTCGGGGCATCCCCCCCGCCCCGGGGTTCTGGTCCCAGCCCGCCTGCCTCTCCCACTCCCCACAGCCCCCCTCTTTGACGTCCCTGTACCCCATATACTAAGGTCTGTCCCCCCACCAGCCTGTGTGCCCAGGGCAGGGCCCAAGGCCGGGCCACCACTCCATCTCCCTGCCGGCCCAGCCCCGGCACACAGCGTGCTCCCCGACGGCATCTGGGCTCTCAGTAATCGAGGTAACACCACTGAACCCCCGCACCTGCTCCTCGCCAGAGCCCGAGCATGCGTTAGAGACAGGGAGGCCAAGACACAGAGGTGTCAGGTGCTTGCCCAAGGTCACATGGTGGGTAGAGGGTGGAGCCACGCTTATCCTCAAGGCACAGATGGGGAAACTGAGGCTGACAGTTCGCGGGGGTTGGGTTTACAGCCTGTTCGGAGGCTCTGTCTCTGTCTCTCTCGGCCCCTCCCGCACGCCTGTGTGCCCACCTTGCTGAGCCCAGGGGTCAGAGCTGCCCTAGGAGAATCCCGTCCCCTCCCTGTCCCCGGGGCCTGGGTGGCAGGGGCGCTGCACACTCTGGAGCCAGGCATGGCCAGCAGCGCCCACCGGATGCTTCTGCACAGCGGGAGGGCCTGAGTGGGGAGCGCTGGCTTCCCAAGGATGAGGAATGTCCTGCAGGAAGGGCTGTGCACAGAAGCCCTGGACAGCCGGGAGGCATGAGCGCCATGCTGGGTGGATGAAAATGGAGATGCCCGTGGATGGCAGGTGGCCAGAACCAGAGGTCTGCAAGATTGTGGGGTAGAGGCCCAGGGAGTAGCTGGTTGAGGCTTTGTGAGCTGCGTAGTGCATATTCCTCTCTTTTTACAGCAGCTTGAGGGCTGTACAAAAGCAGGCTGCCGGCAGGATTTGGCCCAGGGGCCACAGAGACCAGCCACAGTGACGGGAAATAGATACCTCGTGCTTGTCAGATTACACGTGACTTCGTTACATACCTGTTTGTGTATATACTAGAAAGTACCCCGAAAATGAACAGTGTGATGTATTTTCCCGTGTGCCATCCTTGTAACCGCCACGCAGGTGAAGATCTAGAACACTGCCAGCACCCCCGATCGCGTTCCCCTGAGAAGTAACCCTGTAGAGACTGGTTGTGCCTGTTCCTGAACTTGGCATAAATGAGTCGTCCAGCTGGGGTTCCGGACCCACCCACACTGCAGCGCGGAGAGTAATTCCCTCTGAGTAGGATTGTCGCAGTGTTCTAATGTGTGTTTCTCCATCCGCTGTTGACGGACATTTGTGCAGTTTCCCGCTTTGTGCTGTTATCGCCAAACCTGCGTGGCACATTCTAGTACATGTCTTTTGGTGAACACGTTGATGCATTTTTGTTATGTGCGTACCTGGGAGTGAAATTGGTGGGTCACAAGTAGGTGCCAAAACACAATTTGCAAAAGTGGCCGCGCCATATATAACCTTTTGATAGTGACAAGTACGTATTTCAGTGCTGCTGTGGGATAACAGATCTTAAATTCCCATGGTCACCGGATTGTGTCTGTGACTGAAAGAGTGAAACAATCCCTTAAAATACCTGCACTGACATGAGAGCTATTCCTGCTCGAGCTGCGGGCCCAGTGGGTGGTGGTGAGGATCCCCATGCACTCAGCCCCTTGCGTTGCAACAGCCCGGGGAACGAGGTCCCAGCCCTTCCCACAAGTGTTAAAGATTTGTGGGATGTCCCTAGGAGCCCACCCCAGGTACCTCCTGTGGCCAGGACTCCAGCCCTATTACAGTTCCCTCCCACATGCTCACCGGGAGCCCTGCTCTACCTCAGGACTCAGTCCACAGCCTCTCCTCCAGGAGCCCCCACGTTGGGGTACCCTTGGTGCCACATGGGCCCCATAGCTGTTTGCCTTTATGGCGTGGCCTCACTCACCTCAGGAAATATCTGGGGCTTTGGACAGCTGTAGCCCCGCAAATCCCACCCAGCTAGAGAGCTACTTTGCCAGGAGCACCCCCTCTATCGTGTGGGAGCAACCTCGGAGGACAGGGACCGGTTGGCATGTGGACCCCTGGGGTTTGCACGGGGAGGGGGGCGGGGGAAGGCACTCAGAGCAAGGTCAAGCTCATGGCCCTGCTGTCAGGAATGTGACCTTTCTGCTGGCAGCAAGGACCCCACCATGGGGCCCTGAGCAGCCTTCGGGTGGAAGGGGTTTGGAGAGGAGAACAGGAGGGGGGTGTGTGGCTGAGACGGGGAGTGGGGGGAGGGGGGCATCCGGTAACGTAACGGGGCGCGGAAGGACCTGGAGGCTTCCTGAGGGCCGGCCAGGCCTGTGCTAGATGTGGGGAGAAAGAGGCTTCAGAGGGGTCACGGACAGTCTAACCTGTGGCCCTGCTTTCCAGGCCGAGTGACGAGCAGCATCCAGAAGTGACGGCTGACGGGTATGTGGACAACCTGGCAGAGGCCGTGAACCTGCTGCTGCAGCACGCCATCAAGTGATGAGCCTTGTGGGGCGGCCCCCAGCCTCGCACCTCCCCCCACCCCCCGCCCCGTGCTCGGGCCAGGTGCCTCTGCTTCCCCCCCCGACTCCTGGAGAGTTGTTGCTCCCCGGATGACCTGCCCCGCCCCCCGCCCAGTGAAGTCCGAGGGTGGGACAGACCCCTGGGTGCCTCCGGGAACACTCTCTGGGAACACACTCCAGCCACCTGGCCCTGTGAACATCCCCACTAACTGGACTGAGGGACCTTTACCCCCCTGCCTGCCCCTTTATCACTCATTCTGTGCATTTGACAGAGGAGCCTGGAGAAGGCGGGGGCTTCCTGCTCCGTCCATGCAGCCCCGGGGGCTGAGCCAGCCTCCCTGGGACTGCCCAGCAAATCCCCGCCCGCCTCCTGGCCCCCACCCAGAGTCAGAGTGGCCACTGGGCACCCCGTCCCTCTCCTACCCCAAAAAGCACCTTGGAGCCCGAGGCTGGGGCAGCTCCCGGGGCACTGAAGACGGCTGTCCTTCAAAGCAAGAATTGTAACCGCGGGAGTCAAGGCTGCGGGCCCAGAGGGTGCTTCCGGGGCCCTAACTTGGTAGACTTGAGTGTGTCATGCCCCACGTGTGCAGGGGCAACTACTGTTAAATAAACTGTCCTGACCCGACGTGGCCTCTGACTCAGAGTTTGACGCCTGGGCGGGGGTGGGGTGCGGGCCCCGGCACTGGCCTGGTGCTGCCACGCGCTTGAGCCATTGAGCAGCAGAGGGCCAGGGTCCCAGACACCCGAGCTGCCCCAACCCCTCCGGGAGAACGGAGGCCCTAAGGGGACAGTGGGCTGCCCTCGGCCCCACGGGGGACAAGCTGGGTCGGGGCGAATGTTGGCCGGCTCTCCCGGGCCGCCCTGCGGAGGGTGGTGGTGAGCCACAGGCTTCCAGAATTCACTCAGAGCCCGGGGTTTCAGGTTTCAGAATCAGTCAGCGGAACAGATCACTTGATTGCTCTGTTTCTCCTCAGATCAATCCAGAAGTCCCTGATGAGTCTTGGGCGACAACCACACATAAAAGAAGCCTTGGGTCCTCCATAACAGGGTTTCCACCAAGCGAAGGCAGGAGATAAAAGGTTGGACCCTGAGTCCCGCCCGAGTTGCCCTGGCACCGGAGCCCCGGGCCCGCGGGGGGCTGTGCTGTCCGCAGGCGGGCCGGCCACCATTAAATCAGGATTAAGAGGAACCAGTGGCCAAGTCTTTTCATCGGGAGGAGAGGCCACAGGCAGGGCTGGTGTCCGTGGCGGGCGGGGGGGAGGAGGGCGTGTGGCCTGTTGGCTGGGAAACAGGCAAATCGCCTGCTCCTCGGAGTCCCCTCGTTATTTGTTAGGAGATCAGCGGGCCGCGGTGGGCGCAGCTCGCCAGGGCTTGGAGGGCAGCGTCAAGGAGACGGGCTTGCCACGTTCCGGTCAGGTTGTCTCGCGGGTCCTTGGTTTTCCTCTTTCTCTTTCACGGGCTGCCCTCGCTGGCTGTCCCGGCTGGAGCTTGCGGCCAGGGCAGCGCCATCCCCAGAGGCAGCAGGCTCCTGTTGTCTGTCCACAGACCAGCTGCCTCGCAGGAGGGGGACAGGTGTCCGAGGGACAGCTCTGGGGTGGGGGCCGGCGCAGATGTCTGCTGGGTCTGGCCAGGAAAACATGCCACCCCCGGGGCCATGGGTTCAGCAGAGTGGACGTCCGCACTCTACCCGTTTTACAGACAAGGAAGTGGAGGTGTGGACAGAGGACCTGCCCACGGGCTGACAGCTGGTTAAGGGCAGAGCTGAGACTCCGACCACAGTCTGACCCCACATCCCATGTCCTTTCTGGTCCCTCCTACAGTCCTTCCGGGGGGGTGGCCTGTGGTGGCCCGGTGGCCGTGGCTTTCTTGGTGAGCCTGCACCCTGGCGCTCCCCCGCTGGAGATGAAATGTTCTTGGGGACTGAGGTCCATTCAGCCGTAGCACGGGGGGCGCCCTCTACAAGCTTCAGCTGCCTTCGCTGTAAAAGGGGGGGCCTCCTTTCCTGAACAGGCACGCACAGAGCCCTGCGGGGGACCAGGCCATGCCAGGATGTCCTGCCACCTGGCTGGGTCTGACGACCTGTGCTGCTGCCACTCTCCCTCTGCCCGGAAGGGAGAAGGGGGGCCTCCCTCCCCTCCAGGGTCCTTCCAGCCGCCCGCGGTCCACCTGCAGCCGACCCTCCTTCCCCAGGTGGGAGCAGTTCTCAAGCCATGGACTGACGGAGCCGTTGGCTGTGGGTGGGGCTGGAGTTCAGGGCCGCCAGGGGCCTAATTACCTGTCTGCGGTCAGGAGATGCACCAGGTCTGCCGCTAAGAAATGGACCCTCCGAGCCCAGGGAACAGGCCAGGTTGGCTCTGTGGGCCCTTCCGGCAGAGCCCTGGAGTGAGGGAGTGGCCTGGGCCCAGCCACACTGCCCAGCAGGACATCCCGGGCTCTGGTGGCCACCAGCCCAGCCACGTCTGGGAGGGGGGTGGCGGATGGGGTGCAGAGGGGAGGACAGTCTTGCAGGGTCTTCAAGGGCTTCACCTACCGCCCCCAAACCTTCCAACGCAAGCATCCACACGGTATCGGCCCGGCGCTGCACATGCCACCGGTGAAAACCCGATTCCACCTGGGTTAATCATGCAGCAAGAGAGTTTATGTCTCACCTCATTGCCAACTCCAGGGCTGGCTGGATCCGGATCCCAAGGAATTCCCAGGCGACCCTGAGGCAGGGTAATGGCAGCCCCACCCAAACTCCCCCGAGAGGAAGGAGGCAGCGTGGCACCGGGAGGACAGATGAACGTGACCGGAGGCTGGGAGCCAGGCCCGGAGTCCGAGCCTCAAAACACCAGGCACGCACGCCCGTCACGGGGCCCGGGCGACTTCAGTGCTACTCTCCTCCTCCAGGTCGGGGGCGGGGAATAAGGCCCCTCCAAAGGCCTGGGCCTTCCTGCGGGGCCAACTCTGCCCCTCCTGGGTGGAAAGGGGCACAGAGGTGGGGACGCAGAGCGGGACACACATGCCTGCCTCCTGGGGGCTGGTGGCGCCACCTCCCACCTCGGCGTGATAATCCCGAGGGCCTGTCCCTCTCTCTCTCAAAAGTTTCCGATTTAGATGATAAATATATTGGCATAAAAAGAAACCAAAAGTCACTCAGAGTCTGACCTCTGTTACTGTTGAGGGGCATTTCCTTTCGGCCTTCTTTCCAGGAGAAATGTTTTTAACGCTCTCTGGATCGTCCGCTGTGGTGCTGGGGGTTTGGGGCACTGACTCTCGTGTAAGCCCCGCAGGTGTTCCAACCTGCCCACGCCTGCAGAAGCTGCTCGGTCAGCACGCTGCCTACCATCGGGTGCAGGCGTGGGCCAGCCCAGCACCAGGGTCCGCAGACCCGCGGCCGGACCTGTCAGAGGGCGGAGGGCCGCATGCCGCCCCGCAGGCCCGGCGCCGGTGCCCAGGGCAGAGTCCTGCTTTCGAGCAAATCTGTAGGCGCAGCAGCTCGGGGGGCAGTGTCCTTCCCCTGCCACTGGGGGAAGCACAGGGTGGGGAGCGGGGTGGCCATGGCTGGGCCCAGGCCGAGCTGGAGGCTGGGGCCCAGCCGGGGACCGCCGCTGAGGGGGGCTGGACGTCTGTCTAGGGCCGCCTGCCCGGGGAACAGGAGGCAGAGCCCCGGGGTCCCTGGGCCTTGGCCGTGCAAGGATGCCTAGGGAGGGGCTGAGGGGTTCCCCACCCCCCCAGGATTCAGCCACAGCAGCCTTGCGTCACCTGGGTCGTGAATTCGGTGTTCTGCACCATTCTGGAACGAGGGCTGCTGGAAAGAAACCCAACCCACAGGAAGTGTCCAAACGCAGTGCTTTGGTGCCTCATGCCCAGAGAGGCATCCTCAGGACCTAGTGGATGTTCGAGGCGCAATCTCTGTGGTCCGATTTTGTGAGCAAACGCTGGGCTAGAAATTTAAACAAGCCTCTCAAGCCTGTCCTCAAGGCTGCAAATGTCCTGACTCTCCGGAGCTTGGTCAGCCAGGCGGCAGTGATCGGCAGGGCCAGGCCCAGGGGCCGTGTGCCCCGGAGCCCACTGTGGGTCCGGCTGGGAGCACGGGCACCCCCGACCCCGGGCGGGAGCAGTGCAAGTGGGAGCCACGCTGCCCTCGTGGGGCACGGAGGCCCCGCCGGCACGTCCTCCGCGCCTCGCCGGTAGGGAGGTGGGCTGCAGGGCGCCGGGCCGGGCCTTCCGCAGCGGCGTGAGCGGCAGCACCAGCACGACGTGGGGCACACAGCACTGCGGAGGCCCCGCTGGTGACGTGCCGGCTCCGCGGAAGGCGGACTCCTCTACCACGCCTGACTTGGAAGTCCCAGGTAGCGGGCGGCTCCGCTCTGCCGGCCGGGGGGGGGGGGCGGGGGGGGGCCCTGGCTCCCGGCTGGAGGGAGGGGCTGGGCCCCTCCCCCTCCACACACGCACCCGTGTGCGCACACGCATCGCTCTGGGGGCCGGGCTGCTCGCACCGTGCTCTAGAAGGGCTCCCTCGTGGACCACGGCTGTGGCCACGGCCAGCCCTCCTGCTCACAGTGGCTCGCTCCACCTCCCCCTCCGAGCCTCGGGACAACTCTGAGACGTCCGCTCGCCCCATCTTACAGACCCGGCCCCGAGGCTCGGAGGGGACAGAAGGGCCCCCCGCCAACCCAGAGCTACTGCTCCCACGGACGGAGCGGGGGGGAGCCGCCGACCCACCACAGCCAACAAACCACACAGCAGGCTCCCAAAGGCTGGGTACTGAACCAGGAAGCTTTATTTACACCAGTAAGAGTAACAAGCAAATTCCTGAGAGACTAGAGCGGCTCTAGTGCAAGACAGTCGTGGCCCGCGCGGGAGGCCAGGCAGCCGCGGGCGGAGGGGGCGGCGCAGGCCCGACGTGACTCGCTCGGGCCGCCTCACTTCCTGCAGCGCCGCGGCACCGACGGCGTGCGGGTCGGGAAAGCCCGCGACAGCCCCCATGTCAGCCCACGCGCTGTCCCCGAGCCCGGGACATCTCCTCCACGCACTGAAAACACAACTTATTTGCCAAAGAGACTATGCTAGAAGATCAGACTATCCTACCTAGGCTACAAGATCTCTGCTGTGGTCTGGGGTGGGGGGTTTTCATGATCTCTTCTTTTCTCTTTAAGGGTGAGGCAATGTTTTCTCTGACTGGAGCCAATGGGAGGGGTCTGACCAACTGTGCGGATGTGGCAAGATGCGGCGTCACTACCTGTACGGGGGTGGGGGGGTGGGGGGGGCAGAGTGGCTGGGCCACGCCAGCCACGGTGTGGCCGGCCGAGCCCTGGGCCCTGGGGCACTGCTCACACCCAGGGCCCAGGCCCAAAGCGGTCATCGTTCAGGGAACGGCCCCAAGGCCACAGAGGGCACGTGACTCTAACCTCACGGGCAGACACGGAGGCTCAGGCCGGGCCCTCCGCAGAGCGTCCAGGGCTGGGTTTGAAATACCACGGAAGCTCGCTCAGAGCAGCGGTGCCCCGAACGCCAACCGCCCCCCCTCCCGGGGGGCCGCCTCGGCCGGAGCAGGGAGATCGCACACCACCCCTGCACTAGGAGACCCATTTGAACATTTGGGTTTGTTTCCTTTTCAGTGTGGACCTTTCCTTTATTTAAATTTTCTTTGCGCGTACAAATTCACAAAACTTTCCTGCTACAAATATTTTGATGACGAGTAAGGCTTTCCGAGAATGAAAATCTATGGATGATCGGCACAAGCGCCCCCGTGGCCTGGATGTTGTCTGCCCGCGGGCCCTACTCCGGCCGGGCCTCCACCGCGAATAAGGCAAGAGGGTTTGTGGTAAACGGTGAGGCTACGGCCCTGACCCGGCCCCACCCGGCCCCTGCGGGCAGACGGCAGCTCCTGTCAGTCCTGCGGCCATAGAAAATGCTCCTCTGGAGTAGGTAGGGATGCAAGCGACAGGGACTCTCCTCCCCACCCCGCTCTCCTGGAGCCACGACCCTGCATTGGTCCTTCAGGGTCGCGGGCAGGCAGGCGGCTTGGTGCAGCCCTCCCTCCTGGCTCGGAACGTCCTGGGTCTCCCTTCAGAGGGAGGAGCTCCCGGGCATCCCCTAGGAGAGGCAGGGCCTGGACGACGGTGGGGCTCCTGCACGGTGAGCCTGCCAGCCCGCCCACGGCCGCACGGCGACAGCCATGCGCAGTCAGAGGGAGCCCCTAGGTGAGCCTCCCTCCAAGAGCCTCCAGACCAGAAGTCCTGGTGTCAGCAGGGCGGAGCATGGACATGCCTCCCTGGACGGTGGGGTGGCACCTGCCACATGGGGTCGGTGCTCTCCACTCAAAGGTGAACATGAAACGACTGAAGGGCGTTTCTCTCTCTGAGCAGAAGGGACAATGGCCATCCTCTCCCCCCACAGCTGCTACTGGGGGCTTGGGCTAGGAGCTTCGGTGGGAGTGAGGACAGCAAAGAGGGTCCTGAGGACGCTGGAGGGCCAAACTCTGCCTTGGGCTGGGGTACCTTCTGCCCGAAAGTGCCCTGGGACTGGGTTTGTGGGTCGATGGGACCAGCTTGGGAGGAGGCGGGAAGGCTTGGCCTTCCCTGCCACCAGGCCTGAGAAGGGGATAGGTTGCTGGGCAGGGTCTGAAGGCAGGTCACCTGCCCCATAGCCCTGTGACACACACCCACTACCGTGTGCCTCCCCAGATGACTCTGAGAAAAGGCTGCTGGGGATCACCGCTTAGGCCCCTCTGGCTCAGCTCTCGGTCCCTCCCTGTGGCCTGGACCAGGAGATGGGGCCCCGCCTCTCCTTCCACAGGAAGGACTGCTTTAGAGGCCACTGTGGCCACTCTTGGTGTGGGCTGGGTGCCGGGACTGCCCACCCCAGGCTTTCTGAAGACACAAGGCACCAGCGTGTGCTCCAAATTCATAATGCTGCCAGACGTCACTCAACAACGACCCCAGCCTCTTCCGGGTCTGTTCTAAGAAAACATGTCCTCCCTGACCCATTGTGTGGGGATCAGACAAGATGGCAGGTCTACCCAGAGCCACCAGCTCCCTGCTTTATCTCTCCAGGGGGCCCTGAGGGGACATGCCTCTCGTGGGAGCCACAGAGGGGTAACTGGTTCCGGCCCCAGGACCTGCCACGTGCCCACACAACCACGATGCTATCCGACCTGAGGCTCTGAACAATCTGGGAGGGCCATGGAGTTGAGATTTTCTCTACAAGCATCTGATGGTTGATTTTTAAGAAACACCACCCTATAAATCAGAACTTGAGCACCACGCTTTTGATCGAGTAAAACAGTGAAGGTGTAAGTACAGTTTCCCAAACAGGGTCCTTCCTTTGGGGAAAGAGGGTGAGAACCATTCGTACTCACGCTGTGAAAGTGAGGCATTCGCCGTCCACAAAAAATGAGCAAAAGCAAAGAGACTATGAACGTGCCTTTGTTACGTGTCAGCAAACTCAAGAGAATACACCAGTTATTTTTAGCCACATGGGGTAAGGACCCAATTGCTACTGTCTGCCGAAGATGCCAAGTTTCCTACAAGCCAGACTCCAAGAGAGCAGAGCCCGTGTGGGGTGTCTGCCAGTCGGGCTTCCTGAGAGCAAAACCTCAGGGGGTTGGGGGTGGGCGGGGAGGGGGGGACGGGGAGTCCGCAGGGGTGCAAGGAGCTGGGGACACAGCGGTAGGCACTCTGCTCCCCCGGCTGACCAGCAGGGGTGCTCGTCTGGAGGTGGACGGCGCACCCAGATTAAAGCCCACAGTCCCACCGACTAGCGCGAATGTGCTTAGAATACTGCAGGGGCCTTGCAGGCCCCCCAGAGCAGCCAACAGACCTCCTCCACCCCTGAAATGTGCACAGGGCCTGGGTGCATGCACCTGCTCACAGCTCCTGCCTCCTGAGGGCATTTTCAAGAGGTTGCCTGTTACTGGTGACCTCTCCCCACTCACCGGAATCAAGCTAATCACTCAGTGACAGGTCCGCCACAGAGAATGGCCACCACGTGCCAACCCTTCCCGAGTGGCAAGTAGTTCTGTCTTTTTGGCCAACAGATCCACCCACATCTACCCAACGCAGACGCCTCTAACGAGCAGCCCAAGCTGTTCCCCAGGCCCCCAGAGTTCCGACATGGAGAGCCCCCCTGGCACCCCAGGGCCTCTGTCTCCTGCACTTGGAATTAAGGCCAAATGGTTCTGATGTTACTACAGAGGAAAGCATCTCCCGAACCTTCCCAAGCCTGAAGCAGGGAGACCTGGGAGAGAAGGCACGGAATACAACGGAGTGAAAGAAGCTGTGGGGCCGACCCCCCGAAATGAACCTGAGCAGGAGGCCGGGTGGACCTGAGCACAAGCCCGCCCCCAGCAGCCCCGCCGGCAGTCACGTGCCGGGCAGCAGGCCCTGTGGGACCCCAGCGAGGCACCCAGCGGAGAGGGCTGCTGGCCAGGAACAGGGGGAAGGGGCCCAGACCCGCCCAGCTGCTGTCGGGCTCCGGGGGCGCGATGGCCGTGGCTGCCGTGCTGGGGACGGGTGGGCGGGCAGGCGGGCCAGGCTCTCCGGGGGCCACTGCGCTTGCTCCCCGGCACCCGCAGCCCCCGGGGAGCGCAAGTCAGGCCCGGGACGGGGGCTCCCCGCCGCCCCTCAGTTGTTCTCTATCTGTTCGATGTCCAACTCGCCGTCCAGGGAGCAGGGGCTGTTGCCGGCTGCCCCGCGGTCCCGCCAGGCTGAGGCCGGCCCCCAACTCCTGGCACAGCCCTCGGCCAGGGCGCAGCCGCCCGACTCCTCACAGCACTGCTCCTCCTTGCAGGCCAGCTGGTCGTCGAAAGCCGGGGGCAGAGGCTCGGGGACCGGGGTCCCGGCGGGGGTCCTGCCCCCCAGGCTGGAGGCCGAGGCCGAGAGCAAGGCAGTCCAGGACCTGGTGCTGCTGACATGGAGGGCGAAGGGGCTGTGCGGGCCGCAGTCCTCCATCCCCGCACTCAGGCAGCTGAGGCTGCTGAAGGTCTGACAGTTCTGTGGGGAGACAGACACACCGGTCACTGAGGGTCCCGTGCCCGTCCCAAACCCAAGGGCCGCACGCCGCAGACGGCTGGCTGCAGCCCCTGGGGCTATGTGGCGATGGGTCCGCTGGGCAGTGGCAGTCCACCAGAGCCCGGCCTCCTCCATCATCTGGACAAGAAGAGGGGCAATCAGCAGGTCAGCAGGAAGAAATCTGCCCCAGTCAACGAATGCTGGGTTAAGAGACACAAAATCCAGTGACCCACAAATTAGGAAAGAGCCTGAGCTTGACGCCGCCCAGTCGAAGGGAAGCTGCGGTAGGAAGGCCAGGCTCCGAACCCTGCGCAGACCACCCTTCTAAGGGGTGGGCTGACAGAAATGCACCACCTCCCTTCAGCGGGCAATTTCGCTTCTAGAATTTCTATCTTCAGAAAACACTTTAGGATGCATGCAAGAAATCAGCAAAATGACTCCATGTCATACTGTTGAGTTGAAATGAAGCACAAGTAATCCAAATCCCCCATGATAACAGTTCCATAAAGCATGCCTTTTCAGACAAGGGGAGGCGAAAGCTCTGCGGCCTTAGAAAGAACACTGCCGGAGTGAATTTCCAGACCGAAGGGAAACCTCATCAGGCTGCAGAGCTGCACAGGGGATCTAATGCCCACCGACCCCCTCACCATGACCGGGAGTGGGAGATGGGGCCAGGAGGGTAGCCCTGACACCCCAGCCATCCAGAGAGCTGGTTCCCATGTGAGCCTGAGCCCCACGCCTGGAGACACTGATTCTCTAGTGAGGGTCAGGCCCCTGTGCCCTCAACAGGCGCTCGGTGGTGGATGTCGCAGCTCTGCAGGTGGGAGGCTGGGCTCACTAGCTGGGGGCCTCAAGCAGACCCCTCAGTCACCCTGGTCTCGGCTGCCTCACCTGTTAAGAGGCAAACAATGGTCCCTACCTTTCCGTAGGGCTCTTTGAGGGCCCAGTGGGAAATGGTGGCTGCCCACCAAGTGCTGTCTCTGTGTGGGGCCAGCCTGGGGAAGGAGGCAGCCTGGGGCCTCCCTGAGTGGCAGGCGTAGCTCAAACAGGACCCAAGGGTACTTGGGAACACTTGTTCTCGAGAGGGAGCAGGCCCAGCACTGTGCACAAATGGTTTAGATAAAATGCCTGCTTTCACAACAGAGCAAAAATCAGGACAGAGGGTTGTGACGGCTAGGGGTGCCCACAGCCTTGCCCTGGGGACCCCCCCACAGGACCAGCAGCAATGCCGTCTCCTTTCAAAGTGGACTCGAGGGGAAGAGATGTGCTGGAGGACAAAAGAGAGGCCTTTGGGCTCCGGCTGCTTCCCCGCAGCAAGCACAGAGAGCACGCACGGGGGAGGGGGGCGGGGACCCGGAGCGCCAAGGTCTCAGGCCGTCCCGAGGGCCCTGGTCCTTTTGCAGGTCACTCTGAAGTAAAGATGACCACCAGCTGTCACGGCAAACGGGCTCAGCAAACGGAGAAAAGCCACTTTCTCTGGACGAAGGTGGCTATGCCTGCCGTGGGCATGCTCATTATTCCTGAACGCTCCAGAGCAAACTGGTCTCATGGGTTTGCTTTTCTTGGAATCTTTTGATTAACTGAGAAAGGAGAAGGCTAGGGGGCTGGCCGGCTCTGGGAGAGAGCACTAGGATTGAAGAGAGAAGGGCCGGGCCACCGATGAGAACTGCGAGGCTGGCCCAGGCCTGGCAGAAGCCCAGGTCATGGCACCGGCAGCCTGGTGGCCCTCCAGTCCCCCGGTCCGGGGCCACCGTGGGGTTCAGCGAGGCCTCCGTCCGCACAGTGCACATTCCCTTCCCCACCACAGTGCAGGGCTGGAGGCGGCTCCCAGATCAGAACACGACCTGACTCTTGGCAGGTGGAGGCCCCAGACGCCCCCGATGGGAGGGTCTCTGGGGCCCCTTCCACCTCCCAGCCACTCTCTTATCCTGCCTAGACCTGAGCCAGGACGCGAGAAGGTGGGTGGATGGCCTTGCCCGGACAGGGTCGTCAACCCTCCACCTCAGCCTGTGTCCCCGGCTGCCCTGGGCAGGAAGTGTCGTGGAGCCCCAGCGCCCGGGGAGCCCGATCCGGCACCCCCACGCGGCCGACCAGTCAGCCTCTTTGACCTAGAGGAGCTGTGGCCTGCCATGAGTGGCGACGTGAGTCCTGTTATAAAATAACAACGTCCAACGTAAGCCGGATGTGCTGCGAAGGGGTCACAGGGAACGCCCCTGGGGATCAGCCGCGTCTGTTCACCCCCGGGTGCGGGACCCCCCCCGCCGCGAGCTCTGATGCAGCAACAGTGGGAAGCGCCGGCACAAAGCTGAGGAGGAAATGGTCCTGAGCCTGCATTCCCCTTCCCCGGCTGCTCAGACAGCCTCACCCACAGACCGACCTCGGGGGTTAAAGGTGCAGGTGGGTGGGGGTGGAAGACTCTGTGTGTGACTTTATGGCAAATGTGACAGTCTTTGTCTGGGCACCAATCATGTTAAACATTAGCCACACCGGCAGCAGGGCGCTGGGGACCCCAGTTTGCTGGGACCTTCCTGCTTTTGCCTGAAGTATTCCCTGGAGAGAGCTGAGGTCAGACAGGCTATCCCAGACCTGGACTCTGCCACCAATGAGTACCAAAGCTTCAGACAAGACCCTCTAAGCTATGGACCTCAGCCCACCTGCCAAATAAGGGGTGGCCCCAGGTGCAGCTGTCTGGAATAACTGGGTCCTTTTTGCTTTGCAGCAGGACAAGAAGCTGCCAGGTCTGGTTGGTGAATGTTGGCACAAGCATACCCCAGGCTGTCACTGAACCCCACCCCCCAGAAGTCCTCAAAGGCACCTGTTCCTTGACTGCAAAGCCAATGTCACCTTGAAAACTTTGTTGACTCAAAACTCAGCCGTTTCAGCCAGAGGCAAAACCAAGACCAGCCCGCTGAATGCTCCAGCTGGGGGCAAGCCCCACCTGCCAGGGAGGAATGTGACCGACACAATGGGGCAGTGTGTGTCCCGCCCAGACTCCATCCCCGGGTGAGCCTACCCCGAGCCGACACCCAGGGCCTAGAGCTACCCGATGCCCACCATGCCCTGGGGACAGGGTCCTGCCTAGCCTCTCCTGGCTGCTCAGCTTCCCCAGAAGCCCGGCTCCCGCAGAACGCTGCTCGGGCCTGCTGAAGGCCCGGAGGCCTGCGTGCCCTCAAAAATGTCTGGGGAAAGCCGCTAACGAGTTCAAAGCACCACATGAACACATCATTCCATTGTGAAATGGTTGCTCCACCCCCAACTCTGCTCTCCTGAGGCCCAGCCCTGGCCCAGGGATGGGCCACCCACTTGGGCACAGGCCCACTCAGGTAACCAAGATCAGAAGGAGCCATCGTTGTGGCCTCAGGCTAGTGGCTGAAAACATTGTTCAGCACCCCAGTCCTAGAGTCTGGGGTGACTTCCAAAAGGAGCCCCTAAATGTCAAGATGTTCCCATCAGACCCGCCAGACCTCAGCTCTAGCCAGCACATTCCAGCCCACCCCCATCGTACCCCCAGGGTTTCCCAGTCAGGAGCATCGAGTCCCCCTTCCACATTCCTACATCCTCCTGGGTGGGAGGCCCTTGGCCCAGCTCTGGGGACAAAGGTCCTCACCTTCTGCAGTGCACCCCCAGTGGAAGTCTGTGTGGTCCTCCTTGAGGACGGAGGCCCCTCAGACCCGACCCTGGGCAGCGACAGCACCTCAAGAGCCAGGCCCAGCTCCCTTCTCTACGCCCAGTCTCCCCCACCCACACTGTGAAGGGTCCAGGAAGGTCACAGTCCCTCCAGAGGGAGGCAGCTGTGCCTGGGGCTGCAAGCTAAAAAAAACACCCCCCTCCCCTGGAAACTCAAGTTAACTCAACAGACACTCAGCCCCATCTTGCTGCACGTGCCAACTTGGGCCCGCAAGCTCCTGCCCTCCTCTAGTGTTACTGCTCCGATGTGAGCCTGGAGGAGCACAAGGGAGGGAATCCAGAATCGTCTACTAGCTGAATTTCACCACAGGCTTAATCAATAAAGACCCAGAGCATAAGGCTGGGGGTGGGGAAACAACAGACTTCCCCCGAGAGGAGTTCGGGGATGCCAGAGTCCCCCTGGAGGAAGGGGTGGGGGCAGCCCACAGACAAGGACAAGGGTCCCCTTTCTCCCGACTGTCCTACCCTAAAGGGGGCAGGCTCTTCTCCTCATTCCTGTCTCCCTGGACACCCCCACCCCCACCCCCATGCCCTGAACCTAGCACACGTGGTGGAGCAGCTCAGGAGGGAGCTTCTGGAGTTGGAGGAACTGGGCCCACGTCTGACTCCTCCACTGCTGATTTTCCAGAACAGCAATGCAGGTCCTGGCCAGAGGTGGACTGCTGAGTCCCGCAGGAGCCCGGCAGCCGGGAGCCAGCCACCTGCTGTTTGCTGGGGAGCGGTGGTTCCTGGGACCCCTCTCCTTGGACGTTCTGCATCCTGAGCGTGGTGCCCCCACAGAGCTGCCCTTAGCATCGAACTGAGACAAGACATGCCCCCCCACCCCCGAGGCACACCTCTTCCCAGACAAGAGCTGTGGCAGAGCCCTCCACTCTGGCTTCAGCCGCTGGTCTTCTAGATAAGCACACTTGGCTTTTCCTCCATTGAAGGCTGTCCCCCCTCTTTTCAATCCAACTTTACAAATCTCTTCATGTTACAGATTTTGAGGGAGCTACCTCCAGTATAAAGTTGGGCATAAAGAAGCCCACCTCACAAGTCAGGATGGTCGGACCCGGTACCGTCCTGGCCTGAGCTGCCCGGAGCCTTGCAGCGGCTCTGCTGGAAGTTGCTGGGCCCAGGGCTCTGGCCAGGCAGAGGCATTTCCTCCCCAAACACTGTGACGAGAACAGAACTCTCCAAGTACAAGAGAACACCAGGCCGTGAGAATGGCTAGTGGTCTGGAAATTTTCTAAGTCTCATTTATGCTGGAAGTTGGCACAGAAACAACCAAGAAGGCAAGACATGAGGTTTCCTGG